TGTAGGGAATCTCTTGGTATAAAGGTCTCGCTTTGTCAGGTAAAGCGCAGACCAGAACTGTAGCTGTATCTTGATTTCGTTGAATATCTGACTAATAGAATTTAGTAAAAGTTTGTGGCAGTGAAAAATCTGTGTAAAAAACAAATAGATGCTTTGAACAAAAAGAATGTAGGCATGTATTTTTAAAAACAAATGTATACAAACAAGCATAGTGTGAAAACAAAAAGGTTGGACTCGCTTGTCCAATACTGAAAGAAGATACTGTTGTGAGGCGATATGTTGACACTCCTGTACAGTATATGTGTATCCAGGCCAACTTGGGCTTTAAGAGCAGTCCAGCCATAGAAGCAGGGGCAGATTTATTTTCTTTCTCAGCTGACTCAATTGATTGTTTAATAATTGCTAGCTCAGCAAAATAAAGTTGTCCACATGGAGCTCTACTTGCAGCTGGACTGTTTGGAAGACCCAGACTAGATGAGGTAACTCCAGGCCATGTTATGTTACTGAAATGTGATGAAACAGCAGAATGGCATTTGGCAGAATGCTATAATAGCTGCTTAACTATCCCATGTAATAGATTCAGTGGGGACTAGTGGGAAAGCCTGAGGAGAATCTGTAAGGTTATGGAGGTTGTAGTTGCACTGAATGTAGCACAAATAATGCATATCGAGTAGTTCAAACTATTTCCAATATACCTAATTTAATTTTAAGGTAACTTTTAAAGGATTTGATTGAAAGTCTAGACTTACTACAATAAATTTTAAAAATTATTCACTTGATTTTGTTCATGTGTGAGCAAACCCAGTTACAGAAGAACAGAGAACTACATATAATAATTTGATGGAATATTACTGCAATGTACAGTGCAGTCAAGTAAATGAGTATTTTGTCCTGTATAGCTGCATTTGCTTTATGTCTTGCAGCCGCAAAAGTTACGTAGTCCCTTATGAAGTGTTCAGAAAAATGCCATGGAAATGAGACATGGCAAAGGTCATAACTGGGATTCAGAGTTCAAAAACCTTTTTTGTTTTTAGAGGAATACTTTTATTTAAGCAACATTAGTTACAGCAGTTTGTGTTATTAAGGTAAGTGGACCTTAACAGAGAGGTGAGTAATCACTGTAATGGTTAGTGTGGCTGAAAATGTAGTGAAAACTCTCCAGTGGAGTGAAGTTGTGATTTTATTTTTTTTTTTTTTTTCCCCCCTCCTTTTACTGCTTGAAAGAGGTTTTCTGTGAAGCAGATGGTACTGACTATCCTCTCCTCCTTTGATCTGGTATTTTAATTCCAATGTTATTTACACTTTTCTACGTATACACAGAGAGAAATGTATTTCATGTTATTGGACCACTGGTATTTTTCTTACGCTATCTGTGAAAAGGTGGTCGTGTTTTTCTTGGATTGTATGGTGAATTGTCAACATTCAAGACATTCATCTATATTTTATCTTAGAGGTCAGAATTGTTTTTTATGTTCTTCGGTTTTGTAGATCTCGCAAACTTCTTGTATCATCTCCAGTGAAGTTGTGGAGCCAGCCATTGATAATCCTAACCTTGCCATTTCTTAATTGAGTCTTGTTAGTGGTCATTCAAAATCTTCTAGAAAGTTTTGAATAAAGTACATTCCTTTAACTCTGTGAGCAGACTTCAGCATGTGAAAAATCAAGCAGCAGAGGAAATTCAAAGATAATTTCCAAGGATGAGGGCTTTGGGTGAAGAGTAGATCTTCATCCAGAATATCCAAATATGATATAAGTAAGTTGGCTTTTTGATGTAATGACAGTGTTTATCAGGACATTGTGTGTTGTGTACCAGAGAGATTGGGTGCTTTAGCAGACACAAAAAGATCTGATTGCTAACTGGTTACCAAGATTGATTCTGAAAGTATTTTAGTAGATTTCTGGAGCAGCTACCTGTATTATTGTACCCTTAGTTTGCCAGTCATGGAATATTAAGCTTTTGATCCACTTTTAAGTCCAGATGATTAAAAGCCTGTTCTTTATGGGATTGGAAGTATTCGACAAGTCTGTGTATGAGTGTTTTATTGCTTGCTAACTTGAAGGCAGCTCTCCTGGACCACGAAGTCCAATTTCAGAAGCAGGCTTAAGTCTTGTGACTCTTTCAGACAATTTCCTTCTTTTTGGGAAAACAAAGAAAAGAAAAAACAAATTAAAAAATGCTCTTATGCTCTGACAGAAGAGTTATGACCTCTTAAGTTAATGGTCAGTAGTGAAGAAAATAAGCTACTTGGCACACACACTAGGTTAACAAACTGGGGAGGAACTGCTTGCCCAAATATAAATGAGATTTCAACGATCATCAAAAAAATCAGTATCTGCTAAGTAGAGAATGCCAGAACAGATGGAGCACATCACCATGATGCTGAAGAAGGACATATATTTCTGCACAATGGCTTTCCAGAGGATTAGAAGATTGGAGATGTGAAGTTCACTGGACTACTTTAGTGTAAAGTGTGCAGCCCAGGGAAGATGACATCTAGGAATCTGTTGCATCTTACATTTGATGAAGAAGTTAGATAGCTCATTCATCAGAACAGGTCCTTAAACTTTCCTCTTTTGTGTACTGGACCCCACTTCAAGTCAGGACAAACTCTTTGCATAAATTCTGGATAGTTACACTTCAATGCCTTATTTTTGGCCTTTAAAGCAACCTGGATAAAAGTTATTTTTTCATTGCTAAAGTGATCAGTGCTACTGCGGGAGTCCTTCAATAAGAAGGAAAAGGGATTTGTCAGTAAATACGATTTGGTGGGGATTTTGTTGGACAACTTGGGATTCAAGCATCTTCTGTGGTCTGAACTTTTAAAAACTAAATTTAAGGTGATAAGCTAATTTAAATTTTAAGCAACTTCTCAATATCTCCAACCTCACCCTCTGAAAAAGAGAGGATGTTGGTACCTGTGAAATGAAAGGGGAGATATGTTAGCTTAAATTTGTAAAGGGAAAGGAGGTCATTTGTACTTGGCAGAATACACAAGAGCTGTAGAGGAAGTGAGAATCATACTGTGCTGTAAAAACTATCAATTCTATTGTGGAGATTTTTTTCCACATCTAGTAAACTTAGGATTTTTTTTGTTCAAACTCACCTTTTGAAAGTGCTTCGTAGGCCTTTCTTGAGTATCATGACTAAAAGACAAGAAATAAGTAAGTCAGTGGGAATTATTTATGCTGTGGTAGCTGGATATGTTTTCATCTCTAAACTTAAAAGGTGCCAAATTACTTACTCATCAGCTCTGTTATGCAACCTAATCTTCCAGTCCCCACCCCAATTCCTTTCCCCCCCATAGCTCCCAGAACACACAAGGAAGAAAACCATGGTAGACCCATAGTTCTTCAGTGAGGATCTTGCATTTTTATACTTCTGAGATTCTTCAAAACAATCCTTAAACCCCTTTTGGAAAAATTGACTATAAGGTGAAGGCATCACAGATTTCTTCTGTTTATACGCTGTAAGTCAGCAGCTTAAACAGTGTTAAGGTCACCAGCTTGAATGCCAGCATCCTATGCTATGTTGGCATTGTAGCCTGCCTTGAGTACACAAATGAGCTCCCCAATTCTGAGGAGCATTGTGGAGTTATTGCCAAGCTTATCCATTTCATCCTCTCCTTTAAAAATTTCCATTTCAAAACAAAACCTGTTTCCTTCAGGTTGTGGGCACTCAGGTGGTGCTGCAATATTTCAGTCCTCACAGGAGCTCTCTTGGAGAAACTTAACATAGTTGCACTGTTACCTGTGTATTATAGGTACGCCTTATTGTTTGGGTTGGAGTCCTGGACCCTTTGGATATTTTTTTTGTCCCCACCATAAATTCAGTAACAATTACTTCTCATTTAAACTGCTGATGGAATGCCTAAACTACCATCACTTATTTTTAAGCACCCTAGTTAATATCATTTATGGAAGTTACAAGCTACAGTATATAGGAAACCTGCAAACCAATACAATTGCCATCATAAAATACTTTTTAGACTGGCAGCAGAAAGCTAAAGCATACAGCCATG